ACATAAATGGTGGTTTAACTATACATATCATACCGGCCAATATCATACAAACAGTTAAATCAATGATCAAATTTCAAATTGTGTAAAGGTTATCAAGCACCAATAGGTCAACAAATCTGCAATATTTACAGGCCTGTGCAAAAACCAAACCATGATAAAATAGAAGAATGAAAAGGTTAAAATACGGAATAGCTGAAAATAAATGTAGTAATTATGAAAAAAAAAATCCAGACAAGCTGAATAAATAATTTTCATTTTCAGTACATCATGTACATAATGACATAAAAAGGCATCTTAGCTTGTAAAGATCCTCTTAAAAAGATTTGAAAGATTTCTTTTAAAAGTACATATAATATTATTTCTCAGTTAATTCAAATGAAATATTTAACCAAAAAATTAATCCTTATGTATATAGATGCATATGTATTATCTTGTCTTTTCACCTACAAATGTCTTGTCTTTTAAACAAGAGTGCACACACTGAAATGTCTCGCCTTCTTTACTAACCATTGATATTATGTTGATAGTCCTAAATGAAAGCTTTACTATAACTATTACATAAACTTAACATGATCCAAGAAAATGAAGTCAAGGTCATATAAACCAAACGAGAAATACATGTACACCATACAATCATTCAATACAGTAAATATAGTTGACCTATTGCTTATAGTTTCTATGAAACAGACTTAACCAAGAAAACTAAACATTGACCAATGAATCGTGAAAATGAGGTCAAGGTCAGATGTACCATGCCAGAGAGACATGAACAGCTTACAATCCTTCCATACAACAAATATAGCTGACCTATTGCTTATAGTTTAAGAATAAAAACAGACTGAAACACATAAACTTAACACTGAGCAATGAACCGTGAAAATGAGGTCAAGGTCAAATAAAACATGCGAGACTGACATGTACATCATAGAATATTTCCATACACCAAATATAGTTGACTTATTGCATATAGTATAATAAAAAAGACCAAAACTCAAAAACTTAACTTTGACCACTGAACCATGAAAATAAGGTCAAAGTCAGATGACACCTGCCAGTTTGACATGTACACCTTACAATCATTCCATACACCAAATATAGTAGACCTATTGCATATAGTATAAGAAAAACGGACCAAAACACAAAAACTTAACTATAACCACTGAACCGTGAAAATGAGGTCAAGGTCAGATGACACCTGCCAGCTAGACATGTACACCTTACAATCATTCCATACACCAAATATAGTAGACCTATTGCATACAGTATAAGAAAAACAGACCAAAACACAAAAACTTAACTATAACCACTGAACCATGAAAATGAGGTCAAAGTCAGATGACACCTGCCAGTTGGACATGTACACCTTACAGTCCTTCCATACACCGAATATACTAGACCTATTGCTTATAGTATCTGAGATATGAACTTGACCACCAAAACTTAACCTTGTTCACTGATCCATGAAATGAGGTCGAGGTCAAGTGAAAACTGTCTGACAGGCATGAGGACCTTGCAAGGTACGCACATACCAAATATAGTTATCCTATTACTTATAATAAGAGAGAATTTAACATTACAAAAAATATTAACTTTTTTTTCAAGTAGTCACTGAACCATGAAAATGAGGTCAAGGACATTGGACATGTGACTGACGGAAACTTCGTAACATGAGGCATCCATATACAAAGTATGAAGCATCCAGGTCTTCCACCTTCTAAAATACAAAGCTTTTAAGAAGTTAGCTAACGCCGCCGCCGGATCACTATCCCTATGTCGAGCTTTCTGCGACAAAAGTCGCAGGCTCGACAAAAATGGACAACAAAGTACTCTGATACACATGTTTTTGGTCCAATCTAAAACTCATGGATTATAAAAAAAAAATACCATTTGTATATGAGGAATTAACTGCAAAAATTGATATAACTACATGACAATATTAAACAGAACACAATAAAACTAAGACTAATAACAGATCTGTCTTCTCTTGAAGATTTGAAAATAAAAACTAAAATGAACTACTGAACTGAGAACAATTTTATTTACATGTATACATTGAACATTTGGAAAGACCTATACGAATATGTAAGGCTTCCAAGTACCATAATGGTTATAAAATGATTTAGTGAACACCATTGTGGGACTAGATAACACAGAAATATATATTTCATCATTTACCATGATTTTATGACATTGAAACTTTTTCTTGACCAATTATGATCAACACATTTTTTAAATGTACTACACATACTTATAGGCAATGTATGTTTTACAAATAAAGTTTGAATACCGTACTTTTTAACTGAATATAAAAGCAATATATATCTGTCTTAAATCTATGATGAGAACTGAAACTTGCACTTTAAAAGTTTAATAGGATTTGTATGATGAATCAGTAGGACTTTCAACAACCATGCACTTAATGTTTCAAGCAAGCTACATGTATTAGACCAGTAAATTGTATTTTGAACTTACATTTTTCACAATCAAACTTATAAATATATCATTATAGCAAACAAATTTGTTAAGGCATTTTGAAAGATTTCAAATTCATCATTAAAGGTTATCATAAGTTTCTAGCAGAGTATAATAAAACATTGACTGCAAAGAGAAACAATAGATGGCCATATTCAACTGTCTATCTGGCAATCGCAAATCTTACAAAACAAAGTCTTGAAAATGAAGCAAAATAGTAAATCGCCAAAAGGAAAAAATTCTTCCTATTAACTGCAACCAAATTCATGAAATTAGGTTGGCAAATCATCTTAAAAACAACTTTTACGTATTACTTGAGGAAATTCACTTTCATCTCATTTGGGGGTTAACCACGACAAATGCTTTGTTTATTCAAATTAAGCATATAATAAAACTAACCTTTTATGCAAGTGCTACTATTCTTTATTACAGACAAATGATAAAAAAATGTAATTAATATTTCTTTCTCAATATTTCTCAATATCAGTAAATGTACATTAAGGACCTTGGACATATCAGAATTGGGAATGGTTTAACATACATGTATGAAAGTAGCACTAAAAGTTTACAATTCCTTCCCTAAATCACCAAGCACCTCTCCAAAAAGCACTAAAACTGAGCTTAACACCATATTTATATATATGTTTAAACTACAGTAACACCTATCACAAATATAAACCACATGGCAAAAATGATCATCACTAATAAAATTACCAGTTAAGCTCAAAACTGAACTTGAATGGTCGGCATATTGATCTTTTTGTTTTCTAATTTGATGTTAAAAGGATCAATCCAATCTACATAATCTATGTAAAATTTCTGACAAATCAGGTATCAAAATACATCCAGAATCAACAATTTTTCTGTTTTATTCAAATCTTCCTAAACTTTCTATAACCATGGTATAATAATGTATTTATTCATTTAAAAATAAAAATAATGCAAGGTTATGTACATGTAGCTAGTGATGTACATTTGTACAACTTGACATGTACATGAATGTAAAAATTAAAATAATCTTTTGACTTTTGTACTGTCATATAGCATTGTTTATGACCATGAATTACTGTATAACAACATTTACATCCTAATTAACATGTTACTGGGTAATAGTTTACAATACAAGACTGCTGCTTATACACATGTTATAACTGAACACATATGATATTAAAATATATTTGGAAAAACAAAACTGGTAAATAAGTCATGTAAGTCATGATGATCAGAACACAGAATAACTGATATACATGATATATGTAAGCCTGAATAAACAAAAGATAAAAAAAATGTGGATAGTGTCCACATGTGGACACAGATAATGCCCCCGCTTGCATATCATATAGTTATAAAGGGACATAACTGAAGAATGGTAAAAGTGACGCTACCCAAATTTGAACTTGATCTGAGTTTTGTGGTAACAAGCTAAGCATTGTGTGTAAGTCTCATAACATTTGGTTGAGGCTAACTTAAGTAGAGAACAGAAACTAAAAATTCAGCAATTTTTCTATTTGTAAACACGCATAACTCTAGAACAGTTGTGTATAAGTTTTATAACATTTGGTTGAGACAAACTAAAAAATTCAGCAATTTTTATGTTTATAAAGGGACATAACTCAAGAATGGTAAAAGTGTTGCCACCTAATTTCGTACTTATCTGTATTATGTAGGAATAAGCATTGTGTATAAGTTTCATAACATTTGGTTGAGGCAAACTAAAGTTAGAAAACGGAAACAAAAAAATTGTACTTGATCTTAGTTTTGTGGTAATGAATATTGTGTATAGGTTTCATAATGTTTGGTTGGGGCAAACTTAAGTTACAGAATGGAAACTAAAAATTTTGCAATCTTTCGATTTATAAAGGGGCATAACTCAATAATGGTTAAAGTGACACTACCAAAATTCAACTTGATCTGTGTTTTATCAGTGGAAGTCAAAATTAAACATTGCATTGTATAATGCATTGATTGTAATTGATTCAACTATAATAATGGACAAAGGAAGATAACTCCAATTTTAAAAATTACTTGATATTTAGAAGAAAATAAAAATTTGTGAATTTTTCAATTTATAAAGGGGCATAACTCTAGAACAGTTGAAGTGACGCCACCAAAATTCAAACTTGATCTGTGTTTTGTGGTAATAAGCATTGTGTATAAGTTTCATAACATTTGGTTGAGGCAAACTCAAGTTAGAGAACGGAAACTAAACATTTTGCAATTTTTCCATTTATAAAGGGACATAACTCTAGAACGGTTAAAGTGACGCCACCAAAATTCAAATTGATCTGTGTTTTGTGGTAATAAGCATTGTGTATAAGTCTCATTACATTTGGTTGAGGCAAACTCAAGTTAGAGAACGGAAACCAATTTTGGGACGTACGGACAGACTTACGGACGGACGTACGTACAGACAGACAAGGGTAAAACTTAATGCCACCACCACTACGGCGGGGGCATAAAAACTATTTTCAGGATTAAAAAGTAATTTCATACACGTTTATATCTATATAGGCATGAATCCCCATGATAGAAGGTATTGAACATGTGAATTAAAAAAAAAGGAGATTTTTCTTAACAAAAACAGTCTGAAATAGTTAGGCTGGTCATTAAAAAGGTTTTAACTTTGTATGACACATTTACATGTACAAAACTCACATTCAATAGAAATGGCTCCCTTAATTAACATTTATAATTGCATCATGGAAATCTATTATGGTTTGTGGATTGTTTAGGCAGATGCAAATTAAAAGTTTGAAATAAACAAGTACAAAATGTACATACAGAAAAGGTCTTTATATAGACATCATCATTCAGGGCAGGTACAAAACCCCTCTCCTGTTGGAATCAAGCATGTACATGTATGAACAGTTTCAAAATGATTTGAAGTCCTTTTCCTGTAAGTGATCACTCAGGCATGTAGACTTGTGACCATTTTTCCAATGTTCCTTCTGACATTTCTCACTACAGTATCTGGATAGCTTACAAGCACCACAATATAAAAACTTGTCTTTGTCACAACATTGCTTTCGACAACTAGGACAGGAACAGAAATAACTAGCTTCATCTGATAAATCTTCACTCAGTTTGTCTTTGGGATGCCAACTGTCTTTAAGATTCTCCTGGGATTCCTCAAAAAGAATTTCGATGAGGGAATTGAAATGAAGGAATAGTTCCTCTTTATGGTAACACCAAAGATAGTTTTTCTCCATCTGAGCATTTTTTGGATTGAAGGTCTTGGCATATTCCATTAAAAGTTTAAGTGCCTGGCTTGATTTAATCCTACGTTGAGTATTAGTTCCTCCCAGCAATGCCATTACATGAAGAATCTTTGCACAGTACTGAATGGCCTCCATACTTGGTATGCTGTAAAACTGCAATCTACATTTGATGTGTTCTTGAATGTCTCGGAAAATATTATGGCGGAGGTATAATTCAACCATACTAAACTTTCCTACAAGAAGACACCGGTACAAGCTAATAAACCCTTTACGAGAAAGTTCTGGAATTTCCCTCTGACGTACTGCTTTAAATAACACAGACACAACCTTGTCTTTATATAGATTGATATGTTTGATAACTGCAACTGAACTTTGCATTTCTACAAACAATTGCATCAGGACATAGAGATTACGATTGATGTGACATTTACACGACGCTCGTTCACACAGAACTAAGGACCTGATGATCATATCTGAGCCAGTCTCCCCCAAACATTGTAAAACTTTCCAATAATTATCTTCATGCTTCTGTTTACCACTAGACCTCATTTTCTGTAGTGTATCATAAAAAGTGTCCAAGTATGGGTAATCTGCATCCTTTATCTTAGCAAAGATTTCAGCAACATAACTTTCAACAGTCTTACTAGATGACATGGTGGTTTTGTAAATCTCTTCACGACAACAATCACACAAATCCCATTTACAGCAGTTGTCGTCTGAGTGAGGAAATAAATCCTGTGCAATCAAATCTTCCCATGTGCAGCAGTTGTTGTCTGAGTGAAGAAATAAATCCCGTGAAATCAACTCCTCCTCCTACAATATTCAAGAAATAATTCACATTAGTAAGTGCTACATTGTATGAGTTAAAAAGATGACAGATATAGATCTGTAAAGTCATGAAAGTATAAACAAGTTCTTGGGCAGAAAAGAAGTGATGGATTGAAAGCAGGGAGGGTTAGCTATTGAAACTGTGATTTATAGAAACAAGACTGAAGAGACTTCAAGAAACCTGAATTGTTTGCCAAAAATAAATTGATACAATGCAACAGGATTATTGATGAAAATAGGAAGTAGGAAAAACCCTATCAGATTTTCTCTATCTATCATGATCTATTGTCATGACATGATTGTAGGTCTGAAGATATAAGAAAATTAGCATAATTAGTGTATTTTTACCTTATGTTAGATGTTTAGCTATGGTGGCCATGTTTGTCGCCTGACTGGGAAAAATTACTAACTATATATTTTAAGTACCCTTAGGATTATTCACCCAGTTTGGTTGTAGAAGAAGATCTTTCAAAAAAGTTTATGATAATGGAAATGAATATTTCAGCAAAAATTGTACTAAATTTTCTCATCTGTCCTCTGATAATAATTTATTGGTTATTTAGTATGGAAGATAAAATTAATTAGCGCTATTTTACGAAATTTTCCTTTGATCTTGCTGACTGATAATTTGATTTCTCAGTGGAGTCATTATTGCTATAAACAAAGGGGGCATGTGGCGTTGTCAATGAAATTGACCATCTCATTGGTCATCTCAACTCGATTGCTTTTCTCACTTTCGCTGTACCGGCTCAAGCAAGAAAATCAATCTTGTTGAGATGATCAACGATACTCTATAATTATATTGATATTAAGTTGTATGTTGCAAACTTTATTTGATTAAAGAGAGGAAATATTACAAATTAATGTGCATTTAAACTATTTACAAAGATTTTTTACCATTCATAAATAGGGACACTGTCACATTTTTATCAGTGAATGTCAATATATGATTATACTGTACTTTGGAGTAAGAGTTGTCTTCCCTTCTCAACATAGACATGAGATTTGAAAGTTTTTGATGTACCCAACAAGATATGATATCTAAAAAGTATAGAAGATTATGACATCCTTTTGAGACGTCATAATTATTTGGACTAGTGTGACCTGAGACTAATATATCAGTATTATCAGTTGTGACATAATATTAAAGTTGTGTTTCTTTTTTCCAGAGCAAATGCACACTTTTAACCCCAAAATTACTTTTGATAAGTAATATTCCCTTTCAACACATTTAACATTTAATGCATAAATAGGAACCTTATGAAGTATTGCTGAATTGACTATGGCCGAACTGATATTAATGTGGCTCAAAACATGTGAAAGCTATGCATTTGAGTCTGTCTTGACACTGACAGATGAAGTGTCAGTAAATCATTCACAGAGACGGATTTAGGGGGGCAGGAGACCCGGGTCCCCCTTTTGTGGGGAAAATTTGATTGATTATATAAGGAATCACTGAAGCATGACTGAGCGGGTCCCCTCTTAGGCAGTCAGTGGGCCCCCTCTTATGAACATTTCTGGATCCGTCACTGATTAACATTGATCTGCTAAGCCATCTAACGGTAAACCATGGTTAATTACATTACAAGACCAAAGTGTGAATTATGATATCACCTTTGCTTCTAAATGGCCATAAAATGCTTCTATGACAAACTGTACACCTTCAGCATCTCCTCTTTCAAACTTCTCAATCATCCGTTGCTCTTCATCTGCAGTAAGTTCTCGCTTGGGCTTCTTCTGCAACCGGAAGTCACGTTTGATCTTCTGAAATGGAAAGTCTCAAAGTTGAAAAATATAATTCGGACCAATGCACATGTTCGACCCTAGCTTGGTTATTTCTATGGTTCATGAAAAATACAGGAAATTTAGTGAAAATAAAACATAAAGCTATGAAAATGAACTTAAATAATCAATAACCATTCCTATCTTTTCATTTCACTAATCAGGGACTTTCTATACTAGTATAGAAAGTCCCTGCACTAATACATCTATGATAGGGACCATATCTTGTATATTATCATGTATATAAACCTTTCTAATTTATTGATAGTGGCAAAACAAGCTTTTATAATTTTATCTTGATTTTTATATACATTGATACATGATCATGAAGTACATAAAACATTTCACTTAGCCTGGCGTCCTGAACCAATCTAATACTTCGTCGATAGGATACTGTCGAGCAGTGAGCCAGGATCCCGGGCTAACATTTCACTGAGAAAATCTGCCTTTTTAGATTTTTTAAAAAATTTTACATCTTCACTTATTATTTTATTATAGATCTTAATAAATAAAACCTCTTTTTAACGTATTTTTATGCATTAAAGCGAATTACTTTAATTATAAATATTATATTAGTAAATATACGGTCAATTAATTTGTGTTAAAAGGTCCCTGTAAATATGCCATGCATGACAATTTTATTGCTTATTTATATGTGCTGTACATATAATGTTGGAAAAATATTCTTATTTTTTTTTAAAGTTCAGGTAAACATCCATATGGAATTAGTAATCGGTCTTTATGTTACATGTGCTGTTATGTAGCATATCAGTGTGTTACAAAGAAAACAAGAAGAACTGCAGTACGTGAACCACGTGAACCTTAAATGATGTTTTTATTGACATTTGAGATAATTTTCATTGTTATCTGAAAAAATGGCTTGATATTGATCATCGTTAAAAGCTTTATGCCTGCTCTGCAAGGTTTTTATGAGGGTTAGGGTATTAAGTATTGGCATTTTTAAGTTGTGTGTTTCGTGCTCTAAAGTTCAAAGTTTAAGATTACAAACCTCTTTTGTAAAAAACAAATACTTTTTAAAAACTTTCACACTTTGGGGATATCGCAGATTTTTTTTCTGAATGATCCAAAAAAAAAATCGTTTCAGAATAAACCTTTAAACGCTAGTCACTTTTATTTTGATGTCGTACATTTTAATTTGTGGGTCATGAAAAATTGCCTGCAAATTTTTTAATTGTAAATATATCAAATTCTAATTGCACTTTATCCTATTCACCTTCACGACCAAAATCAATTCACAAAGAAAGCTAATAATAATTTTTTAAAAGGTGTTTTTCTTGCTGGTATTTTTATTTTCATTCCTATTTTTTTTAAATTAGATTACTAAGGAAGTACAGTATATTCAATTTCAAAAAAATTCAGTTGATTATAAGAACTTTTATCAGTATTTGAATAGGTTATTGTCTCACTCGTAAAGCCTCCATCCCACTCCACCTGCCGCGATAACCATTGAATATAGCCAATGTGTCAACAAATGGTAACAGCGGGCGTCTCTCTGAATAATTCAGATTCTCTCAGTATCAATTATGAATAATTCTATACTCAATTACTGTCTTGAAATTTAACTAATTAGTACAACAACCGATTTGTTTTTGCAACGCAACACTTACATCACAAAAGTAACACTTACAACCCAAACACCGTAGCTGTTATATAATTAAGACATCATAGAAAGTTTAGTTTACACAATTGTGAAAACTACGGAAGCCGATAAGGGCCATTCAAAAAAAAAAAATTATGTCGTAATTACGACATAGCATGTCGTAATTTCGACATAACATGTCGTTATAACGACATCGCTATATCGTAATTTCGACATAACATGTCGTTATAACGACATCGCTATGTCGTAATTTCGACATAACATATCGTTATTACGACATCACTATGTCGTAATAACGACATAGCTATGTCGTAATAACGACATCGCTATATATATATAAAAGAATATGTATTATGATTGCCAAGAGACTTAATGACACAGAAATTAACAACTATAGGTCATCATAATTGCCTCAAAAATGAGAAAAGCCCCCGCATAGTCAGCTATAAAAGAGGGACGAAAGATACCAGAGGGAGAGTCCCCGACATGACAGCTGTTTAATAATTTAATTCAAACGAATGAAAATAACGGTTTTAATAATGTACAAACAAAGACCGAAAAACGAATATGTAACACAGCAAACAAATGACAACCACTGAATTACAGACTCCTGACCGCTATGTGATAATAACGGCAACCTTATAGTTTAACTTTTCACTTTTTGATGCGATAGGCATTTCAAAATGGTTGTCAGTAAAGGCAAAGTTTGTAGCGGAAACAAATTCATCTTTTTTTTTTTAGAATAATGAACACTATATGCAATCAAGCTTAATTAAAGTTATTCACTTGCACCTCAGACTTGCACATACTAGAACTTTATTTATAATAAAGGTCAAATGAGACCCAGTTGAATAGGGGAGCAATTCAAGCTCCTTGGAGCCTCTTATTATGTTTGGCATGTACAGATTTGTGTAAATTATGAAGTCCTGCATTTCCATTGCAGGTTCTGAATAAGATGAATTTTAAGCTTTTCCCAATAAAGACTATGTTAAACTTTGGACTCATAGTGCACAGACCCACGGATCTCTGTACCTTCATTTGTACACACTTGAATCTTAATGTACAGTAACTACTGAGGCTTGATGCAAATTATTACTGCATTGCTATTGTTGGTTCTTAATGAGATTCTTCAAGCGTCCTCCCCATTGAAGCCCTATTAAAACTTTGTACCCCAAGTTCTTTTAACCACTGTTCCCCAGGGCAACTATTCCTACAAACTTAAGGGGAGGGTTAGGATCCCGCTAACATGTTTAACCCCGCCACATTCTTTATGTATGTGTATGTCCCAAGTCTTTAATTTACATATTTGTTTTGCGTTTATTTTTGTACATAAAATAGGCCACTAGTTTTTCTCGTTTGAATTGTATTACATTTGTCATTTCGGGGCCTTTTATGGCTGACTATGCGGTATGGGCTGTGATCATTGTTGAAGGCCGTACGGTGACTTTAATTGTAAATTTCTGTGTCATTTGGTTTCTTGTTGAGAGTTGCGTGTTTGAACAAACCAGCGTATCCCAAGGCCTTGATAACCTCTGTAGGCCCCAAATAAGACGAAAAAAAACATCAAAATTGGAGAGAAAACTGAAAAAAATTGTTTCTAACCTCAGGGATATTAACCCTTGGCTATCTTAGATTTAATGCAATCAGTATGCATCAGCATCAGGGTACAGCTCATTTGCATATCATTTGCATATTTTTACAAATACTCGAAATTTAGACAATTTCTGATAACAATTCAGCATGCCAAGGGTTAATATCCCTGAGGTTAGAAACCATTTATTTTCTGTTTTCTCTCCAATTTTGATGTTTTTTCGTCTTATTTGGGGCCTACAGAGGTTATCAAGGCTTTGGGATACGCTGGTTTGTTCAAAAACGCAACTCTCAACAAGAAACCAAATGACACAGAAATTAACAATTATAGGTCACCGTACGGCCTTCAACAATGATCACAGCCCATACCGCATAGTCAGCTATAAAAGGCCCCGAAATGACAAATGTAATACAATTCAAACGAGAAAAACTAGCGGCCTATTCTATGTACAAAAATAAACGAAAAACAAATATGTAAATTAAAGACTTGGGACAGACACATACATTAAGAATGTGGCGGGGTTAAACATGTTAGCGGGATCCCAAACCTCCCTCTAAGTTTGTAGGAATAGTTGTCCTGGGGAACAGTGGTTAAAAGAACTTGGGGTACAAAGTTTTAATAGGGCTTCAATGGGGAGGACGCTTGAAGAATCTCATTAAGAACCAACAATAGCAATACAGTTATAATTTGCTTCAAGCCTCAGTAGTTCATTAAGATTCAAGTGTGTACAAATGAAGGTACAGAGATCCGTGGGTCTGAGCACTATGAGTCCAAAGTTTAACATAGTCTTTATTGGGAAAAGCTTAAAATTCATCTTATTCAGAACCTGCAATGCCAAACATAATTAGAGGATCCAGGGAGCTTGAATTGCTCCCCTATTCAACTGGGTCTCATTTGACTTGATTATAAATAAAGTTCTAGTATGTGCAAGTCTGAGGTGCTAGTGAATAACTTTAATTAAGCTTGATTGCATAAAGTGTTCAATATTCTAAAAAAAAAAAGATGAATTTGTTTACGATACAAACTTTGCCTTTACTGGCGACCATTTTGAAATTCCTATCGCTTCAAAAAGTGAAAAGTTAAACTATAAGGTTGTCGTTATTATCAGATAGCGGTCAGGAGTCTGTAATTCAGTGGTTGTCATTTGTTGCTGTGTTACATATTCGTGTTTCGGTCTTTGTTTGTACATTATTAAAACCGTTATTTTCACTCGTTTGAATTAAATTGTTAAACAGCTGTCATTTCGGGGACTCTCCCTCTGGTATCTTTCGTCCCTCTTTCATAGCTGACTATGCGGGGGCTTTTCTCATTATTGAGGGCATTATGATGACCTATAGTTGCTTATTTCTGTGTCATTTAGTCTCTTGGCAATCATAATACATATTCTTTTATATATATATAGCGATGTCGTTTTTACGACATAGCTATGTCGTAATTACGACATAGCTATAGTGATGTCGTAATTACGACTTGTTATGTCGAAATTACGACATAGCGATCTCGTTATAACGACATGTTATGTCGAAATTACGACATAGCGATGTCGTTATAACGACATGCTATGTCGAAATTACGACATAGCTATAGTGATGTCGTAATTACGACTTGTTATGTCGAAATTACGACATATCGATGTCGTTATAACGACATGTTATGTCGAAATTACGACATAGCGATGTCGTTATAACGACATGTTATGTCGAAATTACGACATAGCTATAGTGATGTCGTAATTACGACTTGCTATGTCGAAATTA